CCCAGTGCAGACCTGGTGCCGAGCGTCCCAGCGGGAAGGGCGGGCCCGGGCAGCAGCATCCAGGTGGGAAGCACACGGAAGGGCGGACACTGGGCAGCAGAGTTTCGGGGGAGAATGTGGACACTGGAGTTTGGGGCCCTGAGGGCCGTTGGTCCTGAGGCGGAGTGAGGGGCTGGGGTGGCCCTGGAGGAGGAGGCTGCTCAGGCCGAGGCTGTGTCACCGCTCGTGTGTGGGTGCCTCCAGCCGGGTGCTCGGTGTGGTTTGTCCCTTCTCACCTCCAGTGACCCCTGGGGTAGGGACACTGACATTCGTTCCCCGAGGTCACAGAGCTGGGACCTGAACCAGACCATTGTGACCAAAGCCCCCGCGTAGCCCCCGGGCAGTGCAGTCCCCAAGGAGCCGGGTCCTGACTCGTGTCCCATGAGGTTCCAAGGCTGAAGGGACTCTCAGTGTGAAGGGGGAGAACCAGTCCCCTGTGTGGCTCCTGTGGGGCCCATCCGCAGGGGCCGGAGGTCCGGGGCTCGCAGGGCCACCCAGGTCTCGTGGGCTCACCGCCCGGGCCCTGCTGCCCACCCAGTGCCCGTGCAGGGGGTTCACCTGGCGGACAGGCCATGATTGCCCCTCTCATCCTTCCCTCCCTCCCCTGCTGGCTGCAGGGGTGACCTCAGCCCTGGCCAGAGGCCTAGCCCCGACTCTGGGGGAGAGAAACCCGATGAGCCTTGCAGATCTGGGGTGAGGACTTGCCGTTAGGCGGTGGAGGGAAGTGCCCTGCGGCAGAAAATGCTGACTAACGTTGGACGTTGGTGGGAGGGGACGTGAAAGCAGTGACCCGAGCAGGGAGAACAGGACAGGGGGGCCCTGGCTGGGTCCTGGCACGGAGCCCCCTCCCAGCCCAGCCTGCCCTCTGCACTGGGCACTTCCAGGGGAGGAGGCAGGCTGTGTGGGCGCAGCACCACGGGGCTGACGCAGCCCCTCCTCTCACACTCGGCTCTTCCAATGACCTTGGACATCGCAGGGGCGCTGGGGCAGGAGGAGCGGGGTCACCGTGCCTGGGGCTGTGTGCTTCATCTGCAGACCGGCCAGCTCCCCGCTTCTGCCCCCTCTCAGCCCCCTGCCTGCTGGGCTGGGAGGACCCCCAGGCAGGGCCAAGGTCTGGGGTCTCAAGTTCGGTGAATTCCTTTTTATCCTGATATAATAAAAGCAAATATGCAAAGTATCCCCTCGACCAGGAGTTTGACTGGGAGTTCCACCGGGAGTTCAACCAGGGGCGGGGCCAGCCGGCCAACCACCCACAGCCCCTCCCCCTGGCCGGGCCCAACCCTGATCAGCCCCCCGCAAATCGGGACAGGCTGGCCTGACCACACCTGTGCACTAATTCGTCCACTGGGCATCTAGTGTATATATATATTTTTTATTTTTAAATTGATTTCAGTCAGCCCCCTGCCTGCTGGGCTGGGAGGACCCCCAGGCAGGGCCAAGGTCTGGGGTCTCAAGTTCGGTGAATTCCTTTTTATCCTGATATAATAAAAGCAAATATGCAAATTATCCCCTCAACCAGGAGTTCGACTGGGAGTTCCACCAGGAGTTCGACCAGGGCCGGGGCCAGCTGGCCAACCACCCACAGCCTCTCCCCCTGGCTGGCCCCACCCCTGCTCAGCCCCCCCACCCCAAATCGGGGCAGGCCGGCCAGACCACACCCGTGCACTAATTCGTGCACCAGGCCTCTAGTGTATATATATACATTTTTTATTATTATTATTATCATTGATTTCAGAGAAGAAGGGAGAAGGAGAGAGAGAGAGAAGCATCAATGATGAGAGAGATCATTGATCAGGTGCCTCCTGTATGCCCCACACTGGGCCTGTGCCCTGACCGGGAATTGAACCATGACCTCCTGGTTCGTAGGTTGATGCTCAACCACTGAGCCACGCTGGCCGGGCCCAAGCTCAGTGAATTGTTTGCGATGCCAAGCATAAGGTAGGCACTCACTGCACACACACCAGATGGTTGTAGGGCTCTGCATGGACTGGTGACTTCAGGCGCCTTTTAGCCAAGTGAGGTCACCTCGGGACAGTGGCTCCTGCTGCCGGCCAAGTCTTCGTGGCATACAGCGTCCCTCGTGGCCGGCCCTCCCGGCCCTTCCGCGGCCGCCGTCTCTCCGGTTCTTGAGTTACAGGGTGTGTCAGCGCTCCTTCCAAGGAGTGTCGGTGGCCAGAGCACAGGCCCTGGCGGCTTCCCAGGGGGCGGAGCTCTCGGTGCCTGCGGTATTGGGGTGTCTGGCCCCGGGGCCAGGGTGAGGGCCAATGGCGCCCGCAGCGTGCTCTGATCCATGGCCTTGTGTGACTCAGCTGGCCGCAGGCCTTGATTCATGGTGACCAAGCCTGGTGGCTTTTATCTCATCGCTCAGCTCCTCTCAGGCTGCCTGACCGGAGAGAGAGGGAGCCAGACAGGCGGACACACCAGCCCTCTGACTCACAGACTGGGCTTCCCAAAGCCAGCGCCGCAGGAAGTCACCTGCGTTGAACTTTCCATGTCCTCGTGGCCCGGGGCGAGGCCAGGGGCTGGACTGCCTGGGGCCTGCCCCACCCGCCTGGGCTCCTGGCTGCTCGCCTGCCCCGCCCTGCAGCCAGGAGGCCTCTGCTGGGCGGGTGGGTGTGCCTAGCGTGTCCCCGCACACAGACCGAACATCCCAGCACCGGGGGTGCTCAGCACCTGAAAGTCCTCAGGGTCCCCTTTGCGTGTGAGGTTCCGAGAATTAGGACGGGGCCGCGTGGGGGTCTGTTTTCTGCCGCCACCTGCTGGCAGGTGACCTGCGGCGGATTTCTCCGCCTCGTTGTGTCTGTGAAATGGGGCGCTCTATGCCCGCCCCTGGCATGTTGGCCCCTAACGCGGCATCTGTCCTACATCATACGTCACACGTGCTCACGTGCTGGGTGCACGCCACGGTGTCTGGTGCATTAGACTGTACGTCAGGTGTGACTGTGTTTGCAGGGAGCTCACCGACCAGTGAGCAAGACCCTGAGTCCTGGGCCGCAGGAGGCTGTGATATGGGGCAGGGGCCGGGGGGCAGGTGCAGCCGACCAGGACGGCGTCAGAGACGAGGTAGCCCGAGTCGTCATCGGCCAGGGCAAATGGGAGGCTGTTTCCTGCCACGGAGCTATGGGCCCCGCAGGGAAGGGCAGGCAGCTCTGCCTGGAGCGTGGACTGTGTCCTGGGGAGCAGAGGCCCACGTCTGGCACCCCGTCTCTCATGTATTAGCTGCCCCTGCCGCCCTGCTCACGTCAGATGCTGACTCAGCCCGATGCAGCGAGGGACATACTTCCCCCAGTCCCTGTGGCTTTGGGGGGCAAGGGCCTTCCTCGCAGGCCAGGCCCGCCCCCAGGGGACCCGGCCGAGGTCCTGGCTCGCCCAGCCCTGCGGCTCCATCCAGGACGTCCTGACTGTCCGGCCCGGCTGCCCCGACACCGACTGGACACGGAGCCCGCCCCCACTCACCACTCCCTTTGAAAATGGGCTTGTCCGAATCCGTGGTATTTCACGAAAATAGCCCTGCTTCCAAGTCTTCTAACGACAAAATGATAAAAAATTCAAAACAGATGCCTGGCCCTCCTGACGGCCCAATGTGCTCTCAGAATAGCTGTGAGTTGGGGCTCTTTGTTTTTCAAATTATTGTTGTTGATGACGATGTTGGGCAGGAGCTGAGAACCTGTTTTCTCGCTGCTTTTTCTCCCACTAACCCCATGTCTCAGGGCTTTATCTCGACGTCACACACGTGCGTGTCCTCAGCAGCTGGGAGTGTGCCCTGGGCTGAGCTGTCCTTGTCCAGCTCCACTTCGCAGCCACAGAGACGTCCTGTCGGTGGGACATGACCTTTGTCCGCCCAGAAAAACAGCCGGATGGTGTCTTCCGGCAGAAAATGTACTTTTGTCAGTGGTTTATCTGTGCCACCAGCACGAAAACAGCACTTGGAAATTCTTTTTTTTTTTAATATATTTTTATTGATTTCAGAGAGGAAAAGAGAGGAAGAGTGAGAGAGAATCATCGATCAGGTGCCTCCTGCATGCCCCACACTGGGGATGGAGCCCACAACCCGGGCAAGTGCCCTGACCGGGAACCGGACCCTGACCTCCTGGTTCATAGGTCAACGTTCACCCACTGAGCCCCGCCGGCCGGGTGGCACTTGGAAAACACATCACGGTTAACATCATGGCTACAGCCACAGACGATGGGCAGCAGACAAGGCCCCGAGGACGTGCGCTTTATCTCCCGTATCCCCCCCAGGGCCCGGGGTCCCCTGGCCTAACGCAGCGGTGGTGTGGCTGGTGAGCGGTGTTTGTCCGCGAGGCCGGCCTCGGTGAGTCTGGTGACCACGGTCCCGCGGGCAGGACTTCTCCTCGTCCTCTCACCTGCAGCGGCCACAGATGGGAGACGAGAAGGTTTTCCAAGAGCCTCATTGTTGCGAAGTCGGGAAAGTCTCCCTTTCGTCCCGTGTGTGAGGAGGAAATGATCCAAGTGCGACCCTGCCTCTTTCCAGGGGTTGTATCGCGTTTGGGGGGACGCCTGCCTTAAAGGGGAGTTTGGGGAGGCCTCTACATGGTTTAGAAATAGAGACGGGAGTGGAGCGAGAGGCCTGGCCGCGCCCAGTGCTGGTCTGAGCGGTGGCTGGTCGGCTTGGGTTCGATGTGTGTGTTTGCTTCTTTGTTTTCATGAGCTGCTAATGGCTCTGCTCACAGCCGGTGAAGAGGGGGATCGGGTGCCGTGGAAGGAGGATGAACGGATGTTTTCAGTAATAAGAGCGCCCACCTGTTCCCTGGGAGGGGAGCCTTGCCCCTCGGGGGTTGCTGTTAAGCCCACCGTCACCTTGACAGGCGAGCGGAGCGGGGAGGAGACAGACAAGGGTGGAGCTGGGGGCTGGGGGCTGGGGCGCTGGCACCGCAGCAGGAAGGGAGGTGAGGGAAGCACCGCCCAGGACACCCAGGTGGAGGGGCGGCCCGGTCGCACCCAGCGCAGTGTGAGTGGAAGAATGTGGGATGTTTTCCTGAATTTCTCACGCAGTCACACAGCTGTCACCGGGCCGAGGATGTGAGAGCCCTCCAGCTGGGGCGTCGCACACCCAAGCATATGCCCTCCGGGTCCCTGGCCGGACGATGTGCTGAAAGAGGCCATTCCCCAGCCCTGGGGCTCCCGCGCCCTCTCTCCTGGGCACCGTCAGGCTGTGCAAAGTGACGGTCAGGTTCTGTGTCTGCACGGCCTCTGAGAGGCGTGAATCTGCCCTGCGAACTGGGGGTAGGGGGTGCTGTACGGGGCTGAAGCGCCTGTGAGACACCGGCTTCCCCACACAAGCCGTCGCCACTCCGTGGAACCTGCTGGAGCTCACGTGGTCTCAGGGAGCTGTGGGGTGATGCCAGAGAGCACCAGCCCCCCCTCTTCTTGCCGGCAGCCACCTCCTTCCTGTGCGCCCTGGGTCTGGCCCCACGGCCAGGCCTCGTTCCCTGAGCTGGGAAACATGTGCTTGACCAGGAGCTGCCGTCAGGGGTCGGCCGGGACCACGGGGCGAGTCCTCCGGACGGAGCACTTCTCCCCAAACCCGATCGCCCAGAGCGGTTCCGGGGAAAATGCGGAGCCACGTGCGGCGGCATGACGGCTGCTCTGCTTCCCTTGCAGGCGCGAAGCCCGCCCCTGGGATCTGCTTTGAGAGAGTCAACTCCGCAGGCGACCCCTACGGCAACTGCGGCAAAGACGCCAAGAGCTCCTTCGCTAAGTGCGAGACCAGGTGCGGACTCCGCCCCGCAGCACCACGACCGCGAACCTGGCCTCGGCCCCTTCCAACCCCCTCGGGCCTGTCTGCTCTGCCCTTCTTTCCAGGGACGCCAAGTGCGGGAAGATCCAGTGCCAAGGGGGTGCCAGCCGGCCGGTCATCGGCACCAACGCCGTCTCCATAGAAACGAACATCCCACTGCAGGAAGGGGGCCGGGTCCTGTGCCGCGGGACCCACGTGTACCTGGGCGACGACATGCCGGACCCGGGGCTGGTGCTGGCCGGCACCAAGTGCGCGGACGGAAAAGTAAGAGCCCAGAGTGCGATGCCGGCGGCATCCCCGTGAGTCTGGACGGGGCCCTGAGACATGTCATATCCAAGGACCGGGCACAGGGTGTGTGTTTCCCAAAGCCCCGCCCTCTCGGGCCTTGGTCTGCGGAACCCAGGTCTTTGCACCTGGAAGAGGAAGTCAGTAAATCCTAGGTCCCGGCTGGCCACCGGGAGGCAGCTTGTGTTCTGGGCCCTTCGGTGTCACCAAGTCACTCTACACCTGGGAGCCGTGAGGGCTCCAGCCCAGAAGTTGCTCCGGAAGGAAATGCAGCAGAAATGCAGCAGCAGATGGCGTTGTTTTTGGAAATGGCCTTGGTTTCTGGCAGGGAGACCTTGGGGGCTTGTTCTCACCTGGACACGGAAGGGGGAGGCAGATGTCTTTTCAGAGACCCCTGGGGAAGA